CTTGATGCATCAATGTGTTAATGACTATAAAGGGTACTGTTCAGGTGTATCGATTCCAAGATCTAGTGTGTGAGATGGCAGCAGAGAAAACAGTGAGTGAGCCAAATGCATGCAACTTTCCTTTTTGCAGAGCTTTAGAGCTCTTTTTTCAGAAGCCCAGGAGGATAAATGCTCCCAGGCAGGATGTGACTCATTCCACTGAGGCCACTTGTTTATCAAAAGTGACCCTTTTTTTTGCATAACTTTGACATGATTTGATTTGATTTGTTATTTGTATTGCATTATATGTTCAATGAAAGTGTATATTTTGTCTTGAAGCATGTTACTAAATGTATTGCAACATCTACAACTGTGTCTAGAGGCCTTCTTGTGTCAGCAGACGCACTGAATATATTTTGGCAGTACAAAATAAAACTTGCATACTTTAGCTCCCCTGCTGAAAAATAATATGATAAACTTTTTCATATATTATTTGCTGCGTTATGTAATGATGATGATAATGATGCAGGTGCCTGTAACACATGGCTTGAAGCAGCAAGTCGTGTCAAAGTGTAACTTGTTTGGATCAGGATGTCGTGTGCTTTGAGTGTGTGCAAAGTGACAAGGTGTGTACCTGCACGCCCATACATTGCTGTGTCAGAGGGTTTTGCAGTGGTGGTGATGGAGTAAGTTTTAGATGACAGATGAAAAAGAGGAAGACAGAAAGAGAACATGACTCATGTTTCCCACTGAGCCTCTATTTTTTTTTTTTTTTTTTTTTTTTTTTGTAAACTCTATCTTTTTACTAACCAACCAAACAAATGTCATTATTTCTCTCAGTGATAGTTTGTATCAGAAATATTACTTGTAATCCCTCCTTATGTCTCTTCCATCCCTCGGTCCAGTTGTAAATACAGCTGCAGCTCATTGTGATTGTCACTATGGCTTTGTCAAATCACCCGTGACTAAGGAGGCGATCTGTTTTACTCTCTCTCACATACACACACACCACTTCCATGGCCTCTGTGTGTCTAGAGTGACACTGACAGCTGGTGAGGATCATATGAGAAATGTGACCACTGTGTATTGTGCTTTCTGGCCCTCGTGATGTGGTGTGCATATGTTGGTGTGTTGGTGAAGGCTGCACCAGACACGCAGGCAGATTTCTTTCAAAAACGGTGGAATTGGAGGAAGAGTTTTTAAGACACAAACAGATATTCGAGAGTCCTATGAAAAAACCTTGAGGGAAAAGTAGGTAGGCAGTCTGTGGCCCTGCAGTAGTGTTATTTAGCTCTGTTCTACCTCTGTGAGCAGAGACAGTGACCAACCTTATCCACTACACGCACACTCTCTTTCTCACAGACATATGTACGAACTCAGCATGCCAGCTAGCAGGTGGTGAACTATCAGTGAAAGCCACATCTCTCATCTTTTCCTGCCCCCTTTCTTCCTCTCCTTCCTTTTCCTAATTTCACTTCTCTCCAGTCCTCTGCTGCTCTCTCCCACTGTGCTGACACGCACCTACTGGCACTTGGATTTTCACTTACTCTCCCTACTAGTAATAGATTTTAGACTCTACTGTTCAGCCCCTCTCCTGGCACCCTGTTGTTAAAAGACACCTGCAGAGAGACAGATAAAGAGATGGATAGAGAAGAAGGCAGTATCCTTGGAATGTCAGTATAGAGATAGATAATGGTTTCATCAGTCCTGTGCACTTAGTCTGTTGCTCCTCTTGTCTCAGTGTCCATTAAATATTCATCTTGGTCTGTTTCTCCCTCAAGTAAGCAAGAAATGATATTTACGATTAAGTTCATTTTCCATTTGTCATTTTCAAGTCTTGACTTTTACAGGTAGCCTTTCCCATCTAGTTGTTAATAAAGTAAATGAACGATAAAAATAGTCAGTTTTCTCACTGACTATTCACTCAATCTTTAGTGAACATTTCAAACCTGCTGAAGGGCATACAGTGTAACCTTACTGAAGAGTACTTTTTAAATATGTTATTGCTGACAAGAGTGGATTAGTGAATGGCACCCCTAACAGAAGTATTTGTTACAATCACATTTTTATAGTCAGTAGGGTCAACAACAAGTAGCACATGCACTATGGCAGGGACATGGCTACCACAGTTCACCCTGGCAAAAAGAACCCTTATTGTTTTTGAAGCATCAAAACGGCGTGTCAGTTTCCCCATTAGGGAATCGAACGACTATCCCAACATTTTGCAAATGTGGATATGTCAGCCAGTCCTCTTACTAATTATCCCTCCACCTATTGTCTGAGGTTACTGTAAGTCACTTATGGATGTGTCACTGAGGCGTTGTCGGTCATAGTATCCATCCTCCATTGTGTGCAGTAACAGAGGAATCCATTCAGCGACACCAGCGAGGAGAAGAGTGGGTGGCATCAGAGAGGACAGGGAAGCGGGAATAATGTGGACGATAGACAGGCACAGGACAGGCGCTATGCAGCTGCTCATAGACACAGTCACGTGTAGGTGTGCGCTGACTCTCAGTTACATACGAATATATACTGTTCATCCAGGCAGGTGTTTGCACCCTACAAAATCTGTAATTCTTTTGCTCTTAGTTCATAGGATAAATGCACAATATGTACACGTACAAATTCTCTACAGTTGCAACTGTTTTTAAAGTATATTTTAATATTTTTTCTAAATGTTCTACTTCCATGGGAAGTAAGCTTTAACTATATAAGAGAGCAAACTTATAGATAGCATGCACAGCCAAATATTAGTAATGGTAAACATTAGAAGAATTCCTGAAGTTGGCTAATCATCATACTGATAGAGGATAAGAGAAGGAATAAAGGCAGATCCGACAGAGGATAGTCGAACAAGACTTGATGGAGATACTTGAGAGGGAGAGAGAGAGAGGAGTCAATCTACCTATGGTTAATATCAAAGCCTAGAGAACTTGATTAAAGTTTATTATGGAAAGCCGCTGATCAATTGCTCAATATCGCCCAGCATAATCTACTGTCTGGGTGATAAGGCATTTTATCAACTGTCATGCAGGATGAGACATATAGGAACAACCACAAGGTCATCCAGATCGATATATCCATTCCAACCAGAGACAAGTCTTGGTTCTCAAATTATAAGAGCCACATCTTGAGGTGCAATTTTCTCATAATCGCATCTCAGGTCTCCACTCTCAGACATTAAGATAAAAGCAAATAAATGTGTAATCAAATGGAATGATGATCGATGAGGGAGGGTGGAGGCCAGGGTGAAATAGGGCTGGTTATCAGTATTGAGTTTTACCAACTGAATTATATGAGAACCGTCAACAACTGAAAAATGCCAACTTATTTTTGACGATGCTCTCATCAGAATGAAATACAGTCCAAGGCAGTCATTGCTTTAGGTGTACGCTTAACATCTGTCTGAATTTTTTATGTTGCTATAGGAAGCAGTTGTATGTGAATTTGTACTTGATTTAGAAACATTGTAGCAAGCAACTTTAAAATGACATACTACTGAGAGATTAACTCAAACACAATCTATCACAGTTACAATCTTGCTTTGGTTGTGCTAACATTATAAGCTAACTCTTATATTCTAATGTCTCTCCCAGATTCCCTACGTAACTACATCACAGTGCACGTTCATCAACATCAGCTTGATTCAATAGACAGCACTCTGTAATAATTGGATCACTACAAAACTGCATTAACTGCTTTGCACAGAGATAATGGAATCATAATTTAAATGCCCTCATTTGCATAAGCAAATGGGTCGTTTTATGAATGCTTTCATCCACAAAATATCAAAATAATCAGTGGATTTAAAATTCTGTTTATTACTCTTTGTAATTTCCAAATGAAACTGGAGACAGACGGAAGGTGAGCCATAGGAAAGTGGAGGAACTGATAATGTAATTCCCCTTTGCTCTCCTAAATGATGTTGCCATCAAGTGGCATCAATAGATGTATTTCTAAATTCACATAATGATCAGCAGCAATGAACCATAAAAAGTAGTAATATTCCCCCACATATGAATTACTATTTTATGAAGAACCAAGAGTTGAGTAGATTCTGATTTGGCTGATTGATGTGTCAAAAACAAGAAAACACACACAATCGGAATTTGGTCTTCCTCTTCCTGCCCTCCTAGTTTATATTTTCTCTCTTCTCAGCATTTCTCTTTCGTATCTTTCACTGGCATATCCCTTCAGTGGTGGATGTCTTTTTTATGGTCCAACATATTTAGACTGAACAGAACTCTCTGATCACAGACATTTGATATGTTGGCCACTGATTTGTGACTGTGGCCAGTTGATTTAATCTAAAAACTTATTTTATGAGCTGCAATGATCTTTGTGTGGGACAAGACAGATAATTGTCTGTAATACTGTGGACAATACTGTGGTGTGTGTGTGTGTGTGTGTGTGTGTGTGTGTGTGTGTGTGTGTGTGTGTGTGTGTGTGTGTGTGTGTGTGTGTGTGTGTGTGTGTGTGTGTGTGTGTGTGTGTGTGTGTGTGTGTGTGTGTGTTTTTGGATGCATCTGAGAGATATTCACATAATATCAGACAGAAATGTTGAAACTGTTTAGTCTGTAGCTGTCTCTTTATGAGAGAGAGTGGTGTGGGGTTGGCTCAGCTCAGTGCAACAGCATCAGCATGTTTAGTCAGTGAGTGCAAAGTTCCTCTTCTTCTACACCATGTTCCTCCAGTTGCTAGCCAATATTACAGGATGATCTGTGCTATGTCAATCAATCATGATCTACTGTAAGTGCACAGTTTTTGGAAACACACAAACAAGATTTATTGATTTGACTGAAATCCTCACATCAGTAAACATCAACCATGTAGTTTGATTGAATAACTGCAAGCTCAATATCTGTAGCTGATCCAGGAGTCATTATTTCTCTACAGAGAGCAATCAGCAAAGTCTCCCTTAAAGAAGTCAGTAAAGTATTGTTATCATAGTGTTCTGATGACAATAAATAAAGGACACATACTTGTCTTGAACTCAGTCTAATGTATGTTTCACCCAACAGGAACAGATGGCTAATGGTGTCCAAGGTCCTGCTTCTATGACGTCTTCGTCTGGTTTGTTGACTGGCTCTTATAGTCTGGATGGGGAAGGACTGAAGAAGCTGGGAATTGGGCTTGTTCTGGCAGCAGCCATCCTGGCCTTCATCATGGAGAAACTGTACTGATGGAGCAACTGCAACCTAGAAGAAGAAAAGGCAGGGGACAGTGACATCATAGGAGCCTAAACAGTGTCTTTTAAGTTGGTGAATACAGAGATAAAACTGTCTCCTTAGATCACATGCTGTCATCCCATTTTAAATGAACCCAAAGAATAAAAAAGGTCAGTGACACCTACAAAGTTATGGATTATTTAAATGTCCTATGAGACTTCTGGTTTTTAGTACAGTTAGATATTTTTTATTGAAGGGCATAGTTAGAAGTCTTTTTACTCTTTAATTTTTTTTTTTTTTTTAAAAATTATTTTTTTAAATTTTTTTTTTTTTTTATTTTTTTTTTTAAAGAGGTTATTTCAGGCTTGGTCTGTTGTTCACCGAGGGCTGCAGTCTGACGTTGTCCATAAACTGGTGAATGAAATAATGTTTTTCAACTAGTTGAACACATTCTGGTCATCTGTACCAGAACAAAGTCTGAGAATGAGCATGAAGATTTCAAAATATTAGAGTTTCCCATCCGCCTTTTGATGGATTGAATTGTGCTTACTTTACAGTATGTACAGTATACAGTTTTTTTGTTCTCCAGAAAGGAGTAATTAAGTGTATAATACTCTGATGAAAGGTAATTTGTATCCTTCATTTCAAAGTATTTATTTTTGAATAAGAGAAAGGACTGTATAGTTTTCAGATCTTCATAGCAAACGTCTTTGTAGTTGTTTTAGCATCTTATTTTGTTCAAGGGGTTGTTCAGAAAGGTTTTTATTGTTTCATTTTATGGTTTTTGCCTCATACATCAACGTCAAGTGGAATTAATTTATAATGTACGTCTTACTTGATTAGTTATAACATAAAGGACAACTGGCAAGATGGACGATGCTAATTGCTGGTTGTTCGTCATTTTATCCTACACAACACCACACACCCAATGTGATTTATTTTATTTGGACTGTACTGTACTGTGATGACTTGCTGTGGTGCCCACTTAAAGGGTTATTGGATATTTTCTCACTCACCTGTATTTTAGTTAATATCCAACTCCGAGATCTTTGCTGTCACCCCAGTACAATAAAGGTGAATGGAGTTCCATTTGTGGTGCTCTCAGCATTGGAACAACAGCACAGGTATGATACACTGGATAATCCATAGGGAACACTAGCATTGGGTTTCATAGGGACTGATATAGAAATGTTTCAGTTAAAAGTGTTTATAGGGAGATCTGTGGCTCTTATGCAAACCACCATAAATTTATTGGGTTGTCAGCAGAAGTCTCAGAGGCAGTTATCTTAAAACCAACCTGTTAGCACTGCTACACATTACTAGAGGTAAAGTAAGTGTTTGTCTTTTTCTGTAATTCAGGAGAACTGACCCTGCAATACAACTTCTTTGCTGACATGTGGATTATATGGGTTGTCTGAGTCATTACTGAGACAGACTGTATTGTTTTTGTTGATTAGCAATGTCCCAGCCATCCAAAACATTTAAATAAAGGACGGAATCAATTTGTCATGAGTTAAATAACTGAAGTGTTGATTGATTAACTGCTGAGGTTTTTACTATTGAATAAGCCCTATAGAATGGGTATGGGAGAGTCTGCTTCCAGCGCTCAGTGTTGCCATGTCAGTTGTTGTCATGTATAGTGCCTGCCTGTGTTTCTCTCTAATGTCTTTCTGTTTTGAGGTACAACAGTCCCAATGTGTGCTGTGAAATTTCCGACAGTTAATAATACATGCCCCAATTTATGTGTCTCGTTACAATGGCACGTGTCTCTGTCAGTATGTCTGCATTTTATCTGTGTGTGTGTGTGTGTGTGTGTGTGTGTTCACATGCCCTGCATATATTTGTAGTCACAAGTCTCTCTTTCAGCTTGTTTGTGAGCTTGTTTCTGTGTCAGAGGGTGTGTGCGTGTGTATGTGTGTGTGTGTGTCTGTCTGTCTGTACATGCCTGCGATGTCTGATGTACTGTCTGTAGTTTACTCCAATGGTTAATTTAGCAGAAAGCCAGTATGCGTGCATCTGGTTGTGTATGTGGTTCAGGAGTGACAGGACTCATCACTCTCTCATTCAGAAAGGCCTGTTATTAGATATACCACTGTTTGTAGCCTACACACACACACAACCTTTGTATTATCTTAGTATATGATGCGTGTCACCCATTCTGTTGACACACAGATACATGCATATACCCTGGCTTTTTTTTACCTAGCTGGTGCATGGCTCACACACACGCACGCACGCACGCGCACACACACAAAGCAAGCTGCAATTTTGTAGTATATGGGCAAGTGATGCACATCAAGCGAACTTGCACACAAACACAGGCACCAAAGCTTTATATTACCCGATCAAATGATGCGTGTCTCACACACAGACACACACACAGGCTTTGTATTATGTGATCAAATGATGCATGTAGCTATGAAGCTTGTTACATCCATCCAGCAGTGCCCTATATTATTCTGCAGCCATCCATACTGTGTGACAGTTCTTTTGATGCTTTGTAAGCACATTTCCTCACTGTGTATGTCAGTTACACTGCATTGTTCTCCAATGAAATATGGATGCAACGACACCCTTTATGTTTGGGAGATCATCACTTACTATGAAATATTGAGGCGGGAACCATGGAAAGGAGATCATTATTCACTTCGCATCATTCACTTCAGTTGTTTCTAATAAAAGCGAGAGTTTCTGAATTCTTGTCTTAGTTGCAGCTGTTGTCAATTTGTCATCTACACAGCGTCGTCCTTTTGATATGAAATGAAGCGACTTTGGACATGCAAAGGAGGTTGAGCATTAATGCGCTCGCCTGTGTCATCTTTCATATATCATGTCATTTAATTTAATTTTTATTTGATTTAAGTGTTTTAAACTCCAAGTGGTTTGGGTTGCATAAGAACTCAAAGAAAGCACATTTATGTTTTGAGACAATTTATTTGTAATAGGCTGAGATGCCACACGCCTGTGAAGTGCAACATAGTGAAGTATCGGGATAAATCGTGATTTTGTTTTTGAAAATGGTTTGTTCTCATCTGATCTCGCCTGATATCAGCGATGGATCAAACTAAGGTCTTGCAGAACTGTACTGAATAAAGGAACGTTAGACTATTTAAAAACATGTAAACCCCCATAGCTGAAGAAAAGGTGACAGTGAGCCTGTTCTGGATCTGCTAGCTTACAGCAGTCTGATTATAACAGCAGTTATCAGTTAGTATATGGTTTATAGGAGACAGCCTTTTCAGATGTAGAAGTCATGGAATATGCCACTGAATTTGTTATTTCCTGATAAAGGGGAGGCATGAAACAATAAAACAGTATGCACTTTGTGATATTTATGCCTGCAGTTTTCTATTGTGCATTTTACTAATGAAGTGGCCATTATTTGTAAAATAGTTAGGAAAAAAAAACATTTAAAACAAATTAACTGTGGCCCTAATGATGACGTATCATCATTGATACAGAGTATATTGGTATTTTGGGAGCTTTTATTTGTGCTTTTATTGTTTTACAGAAAAATGCACTTAGCAGTGATGAATTTTCTTAAAAAGTCAGTGTAAGCTGCCCTAATATTTGTAATGCTGCCGATTGACACATCGTAAGAATGTTTTCGACCAAATCACTTCAATACTCACTGGCATCCACCTTCATAAAATAAACCTTTATAAACCACATAATGTAAATGTTTTAATCATTTTACATCCTGTTTTGTTGCATTAAAAGAGGGCGAGTCAGCCAATGAAAGAAATGGTTGAACCAGTGTGATACAGATGTCAGATCTGAGTCCCTAGCACCCAGTATCTGCACCACCAGATACTGGGTATAACATCCAAAAGCATAGCAAAACTAGCCGGTCTTCTCTTCTATCTGGATATTTATTCCTCATACTGAGATATAAAATCAATAAACTTTAGATTAAACAGCAAGTTCATAGAAGTTCTGTTCACATTTTCAAATAAACACTCAATGTACATTTACTGGTAGACCATTGTTAGGGTTAATGTCAACAACTGGCATGAGTTTAGATAATACAGAGGGTCTTGACATTAGCTACTAGCTGTCAGAACATCTCATTAGCCATCGTCTCAGGCTGTGACCTTTTCATTTCCGCCTCGCACAGAAAATTCCACACTAACTTCTGTATCCACCGCTTGGATTATTTTGCTCCTACGCGTTTGTCTGGGTATCTTTATACCGGAGAACACATCACATAAATCATTAATTTGAATAAAGTGAATGTCATATGCAGTAAATGGCATCTTCTATTTTCCACTTACACTATATAGTGGAGCTCTTTTACATTAGATAGTTTGGTTTCAGGTTGTGTTCGTGATGTGTGGAAGCAAAAAAAAGACAGAAAGAAAGAACGAAAATGTAGACAGTTGTTTTTTTTCAAGGCTCGGCTGATACCTCTCTGTTGAGGTTTGTTATCTTGGTGTAACACTTTTATTTTTTTTTCAGGCAAGCAATCAGTAAAGTATGGAGAGAAAAACCTGACATAATTACAGTGTTGATGTTTGTCAGGTTAGGTCCAATTTAGCTCTGTCAATTTACCATGCTGTCATTCAGCATGCTTCAAAACTTCCATTCAAACTATAATTTATTTCCCCTCATTTTTAGTTTACAATTCTACCAACTTCGATCTACATGTCAGTCAAAACAGCAGCGGCTTCTTGTGAGATTACAGAGACAATAATGTTGAAGGTGCAATAAGAATATTTGCAGGATCAAAGCATTCGCATCACATTTATTTTAGCACTGACGTTAATTGACATAGGACGCAGTCACTGACAGTCACTCATAAAATCAGAAAATACTGGGGTGGGTGGGTGTGTGTGTCTGTGTCTCTGTGTCTGTGTGTGTGTCTGTGTGTGTGAGAAGGGGAGGAGGTCTATTTAGCCCCAGGGCAGACACACAGGAACAGCAGTGACTGACACTACCTTACAACTGAGGCCTAACAATGTCCGTTAATAATGTGTGCGTGTGTGCGCGTGTGTGCACTGCTCTGTTTACCATCCACCACCCTGACCCTGCATTGGTTTGAAGAAATAGAGAAACAAGGACAGAAATTCCTTCTTTTTCCTCATCTTCCATTTACAGTTACTGTTTGCCCTTGACTGTGACGTTACCTTACAAGATATTGAACACATAGATAGTTCTTTTTGTCTGTATACAGCCCATTTTGTATATA